ATATTCGCTAGGTATCTACATCCATGATTTCCTTCTTTTTTACATGGATTAGTAGGAAAAAGAAAATACAAGCATGGTAATTAAAAAAATAAAGGAACATAACGGGAAACTACAACGGAAAACTAGAGACAAAAAACCAAAAATTACAAAAACGTTGGTGAAATAAAATAAAATAGATAGATAGACTTGTTAAGTATATTCTTGGTGGTAACAAGGGGTAATTCAGGTAGATGGCCAAAAGTAATGAGGGTAGTGACGTATTGGGAGGACCGGTGCTTGTGATTCTGAGAATAAAGGCCATAGGACGATAAGCATAGTGAATCGGCCCCAGAGGAATATCTAGTAATTTTTTCAGGGAATATTGGTACTAATGAGATACGTTAATTTTGAAAATTTTAGACCTCTATCTATTTTGGTTTTTGAATAAATTCAAAATAAATCAAATTCCTTTTTTATTGTACCGTGGTCGGGTGTAAACAATGACTACCATTTAAAGATGTGATGATGTTCTGATTAAAGGATCAGGTGGAGGACCATGCAAAACACGAGTGGACATGTCATAACCATATCGAAACTAGTGCGTAAGCATGAAGTGTTNGCTAAAACTGGTCTTGTATTAAACTAAATCTATCCTGAAAGTTTGGTTAAGAAATATTAGTCAACGCACGATCACCCAGATGCTCCACGAGCCTCACTTCTTTCATATATGACAACTACACTTCGTTTACTTTCTGATACTTTAGGGTTGGTGGTGATTCAATTCACTTTGCAAAAATAAAAGAAACGCAATGCAAACGTGACAAATTTCATCATCATCATAAGGTCATCAGTCCTAAGACTGGTTGGACACGTACCTGCACTCTTTCCTATCCTGAGCTAAACTTCGCATCTTCCCATCCACAAACAATATTGTGATTTTAGTGACGTAGTCACTAACTATAGCCTAAGATCGAAAACACCCCACTAACGTACCTCCACCCCCTATATTTTCTTGTTATATTTAAGCATCTAATAATCTCATTAAGTTTTCATGTTTTCAAGCATTAAGTTCATCTAATCAGTTCATCAGTAGTTTATTCGTTGTAGTTATTTAGTAAGTGTTTTTTTTTTCGGTGTTAGCACAGCCGTCTCTACTTACAAACCGTGCTGAAGGTTTACTTGGCAACACTGTGGGAGTCCCAGGATTTTCCAGTTAATGAGAGTTACAACTAATACATTGGTTGTTGAGTTTCTTTCGTTGTTCTATAATATCTTTATTTTAGCGGAAATATCGTGCAATAAATGCGGAATAAGGATGCTTATAGTGTGTTTTAGTGATTAATATCTTTGGATACAGTTTTTAATTGCAGAAGGTAATATTAACTATTATGTGAAAGAAGTGAAAATGTTTTAGGTCAGATTGTGTGTTTTAGTTGTAAATTTTCTTGTTTATTTCTTAACAAAATGCCTCGTCGTTGTTGTGTTCCCAGTTGCAATTCAAATTATAAATCATCTTTAAAATGTAAGTATGTCTATATTTTTATTCCCAAAAAAATTAAATGCGAAAAAAATGCATAAGTGCTATACCGCGCAAAGATTGGACTCCATGAAAATATTCTGCAGTTTACATATATCACCTTAACAAAAGTGACATTATAAAACCAGTAAAAAAAGTATCCACTGCCGGTAATGTTTTGAATGTGCTTTTAACATATCGTAAATTACCAGAGAATGATGAAACAGAAAATTAAATTGTTGAAAATTCTTCCTTAAACTAACTCAGTTTATTCAAATTTTAACTTCCGTTTATTTGAATGAATTGTGCTTTAAATGACTCCTTAAAAATTTAGATTCCAGGATATTCAGTTCATTCTGTTCGTAAAAAGAGAACTTGCAACATTTATGTTTCGCTCATAATAAACAATAAAGGCTCTTGCGTTGGAGATATTTATTTTGATTATTTACAAAGGGGAGGACTTTCTGTTCCTACTGATAATATTAGTATAGTTTTTTTTTCACTTTTATGCCATTCTTGAAGAAATAAGTAATAACGAATATCTGCAGACACAATATTTACGGGCTGAACTCCAAAAATCAATTTTAGGAAAATTAACTATTTTCAAAAATATTTAGTTTTGGAAAACACTATAAAGATATATTCTTCCAAATTTTATCTTCTTTTGCTAATGTTTTGCTTAATGATTACGTTAAAATTATAAATTATAGAAAGCAAGAGTCCCGCCACTCCAATTCAAATTCAGCTAACTGTAAGACAGCAAAAATCCGTAAATTAGAAATTGTAATTAGTTTTTTCTAATGGGATGGCAGGGCTATTGGTGAACCCCAAAAAAAGCTAACGCGCCTTGGCAATACTTCAATTGTGGTGTGGAAATTTGCTTTAATAAAATTAC